ACTGGAGATCCCCTTGCAGAGGGGTCTCAGGGAGGAGACCAGCCAGTCAGGGTGTGATGTAGCAACGATGAAAACTACAGCTTTCCTTAAGTTTCTAAATGCTTCCTCCGCCCCCACTATCATGACCCGAATTCTACCTTGCAAGTCTGGCTAGACCAGGGGATGTACATTGGTACAGATAGGAACTGGAAACACAGGGAATCCAGGGCGGATGATCCCTTCAGGACTAGTGGTGTGAGTGGTGATACTGGGAGGCTGGAGGGAGGGTGGGTTGGAAAGAGGGAACTGATGACAAGGATCTACGTGTGACATCCTCCCTGGGGGACGGACGACAGAAAAGTGGGTGAAGGGAGACATTGGACAGGGCAACATATGACAAAATAATAATTTATAAATTATCAAGGGCTCTTGAGGGAGGGGGCAGCGGGAAGGGAGGACCTGATGCCGGGGGCTTAAGTGGAGAGCACATGTTTTGAGAATGATGAGGGCAATGAATGTACAAATGTGCTTTACACAATTGATGTGTGTATGGATTGTGATAAGAGTCGTATGAGCCCCTAATAAAGCGATTAATAAAATAAGAGCACGGAGGTCTCCGGGGACCTGGGAAGAAGACACTAAAGAGAGAAACCCTCCCTGGAGCCAGCACTGAACTTGCACCTTTCACAATGGACCTGTAAGGGACATCGTAGATATCGTATCCACAACAAGACCCAGACAAGCCACCTACGGTCACTTAACTGCAATTTAGGCCAATCTGCTGCAAGAGACCTATTGATTTTTTACAGGTGTGCCTTGTTTTTATTAAGCATCACTTTACTTTGTTGTGATTTCTACATATTGAAGGTTTGTAGTAGCTGCCTCAGGCAGATCTATCGGTGTCACTTTCCTAACAGCATGTACTTAATTTTGTTCCTTTGTCACATTTTGGGCATTCTCTCCGTATTGTGCATTTTTTTCATACTGTTTATTGCACACTTAGTAGACTATCCAAACTGAAATGGCCCATTCTTTTCTGATGCAAAAGACTTCTCTACAGTTGAGTCTTGGCTCAAGCCATGGTATTCTCAGTAGCCCCATGCATGTGAAGCCTGGACAGTGAATAAGGAAGACCCAAGATGAGTGATGGCTGGTGTTGGCGAAGAATAGTAAATGTACTGTGTGCTGCTGGGAGAACAGTCAAATTGGTGTTGGAAGGAGTCACAGCCAGACTGCTCCTTAGAAGAGCGTGGTGCAACTCAGGTCAAGAACTTCGACGTTATCAGGAGGGACCAGCCAGTCTCTGGAGAAGCACACGGTGTGGTGAAGCTGGAGGGTCAGAGAGGTGGGTTGACACAGACGAACAGTGGTCTTAAACCTAGGAACGATTGTGAGGATGGCACAGTGCATGCGGGTGTTTCTTTCTGTTGGACAAAGGCCCACTGTTGAATTGGAACTGCCAGCGCTTCACAATGGTCCTTAAAATTGCAACAGTCTTAATGTACAGAAAATTATCACATGCATATTGGAAGTCTTACTTTGAAGTGTTTGTATCCAGCTTAAGAAAATGGAATATTGGAGATCATGATGAAATTTTGGTGATTATCTCCCACCCCACCTGGCAATAAATTTGAGTGCATAAAATCTCACCTGGTCTTTGTGGGTTTTATTTATTCTTCATAATGCTTATGCCCCTTTAAAACTAAGTGAGTTTAAGTTAGTTTCAGGTAAGGGGTTTATTCCCCTTGTGTTTGGTGTATGCCAGGTTGGACATAGTTGACCTAGTTGGTTTTTTTCCCCCTAGGTTGAATTGACCAAAGCAATGGTTATGGAGAAGCCTAGTCCCCTGCTGGTCGGGAGGGAATTTGTGAGACAGTATTACACACTGTTGAACCAGGCTCCAGACATGCTGCACAGGTAATGTGGTATCATCTAATGACATTTCATAAATTGGTACTTGTTTTTAAGGTTCTCCCTTTCTTCATCACATGTTTTTTAAGGTTGTTGCATAATAAAATAACCCTTGGCACATTAAAGATGCCCACCCACCACCAAGAAACCACATTGCATCAGTGTGCTTCAGAAAGTTGGAGTATCTTTTTAAATAGAAAAGATGTATGTTTACTTAAATGTATAAAACAGGTTATGGAACTCCCATTAATTTTGTGTGTACACACTAGCATGTTTAAAATACAGTCTCCTAAGTTTTGTTCTGAGGTCATCTTTTAAGAGTATGAGTTGTACTGTCCACCAAGCTTTCATTGTATAGAGTTGTAGTATACTTTAATCTCTTAATGGTAGATGTGTAGATTGCTTCCATTATTTTTCCTGTTAAGACATTGTATCCTACCAAACTGTCTTATTTATTTGGACTTAATAAAATAATTTGTTACAAGTTCTAAAATCTATGGTTTCCTGGCCTAATCTAATTTTTTCCCTTTAAACTTTGGCCAGTTTGTGTATTAGATATCACATGAGTATTAGGTGCAAAGAAAGTGTATAAATTTGTTTTGAGTATAAAATTTGGCCTTGCTCTGAAAATGGAAACTAGCTTTTGTGTTTGTTTAAAGCTTTGCCATTTCCAAAACACTTTTACAGCTGTTTCCTTTTTGATCCTTGCCAAAAGTCTTTTATAGAAGGGCTTACATGAGAGTTAGCTTCATTTTATAGATAAAAGTTGCCCAAGGGGCTTAAAAAATTGCTGATGGTCACATGACTGTTATATGATAGAATAAGTATACACACTTTCTTTTTTGTTCTGTAAAAAAGTTTTTTAAAAAAATACTGTTTAAGAAGCTGAAGTTGAAAGAAACTAAGAGATGCATTAATACTATTTATTCTTAATATTCTAACTGCCCTCCCCCATTGTGTTGTCTTTGATTGAGATACATTTTAGAAGTGATGGCAAGTGGGCTGTAGCCAGTAGTGAACAGAATCTCTGCCTCACTTTGCCTTTTAACCAAAACCAAACCCACTGGGTCAAATTGATTCCAATTCATAGCAATCCTATCAGAAGAACAGGGTAGGACTGTCCCTGTGGCTTCTGAGACTGTCACACTACAGAGTGGAAAGCTTCTCCCACGGAGCTGCTGCTGGTGATTTCCAAGTGCTAACTTGGAGGTTAGCAGTCCAGTGTGGGACTGTGATGAATTCAGGCGCCTTTGAAGCCTTTTAGTAACTTTAAATGTGGGAGTAAGAACAGATACAGAGTAAATATGTACTGTCTGACTGTGAAGAAATGTGTAAGGAGGACAGTATTAATCCTAATAATGGTATCCCTGGGTTAGTGCGTGTATGTGTGAGAGATGTGCTGGAATATTGTTTTAAGGAAAGCATAGAATTGAGAACTAAGCTATGGGGAATTAAAATGTGAACTT